TTCAATTTTTCATAGACTCGACTTGTGTTTTCTGCCGTACAAGTATCATTGATATTTAGCAATAATAAAATGCACATTCCTTATCTTCCATTTTCACAGCTTTATATACCAAAAACTTTGAATCTCACAAACGGTTCCAGATAGATACTGCACAAATACTCTAAAAAACAGTACATTGAATATTGCACAAGTGTTGCTATTACGATAAGTATACTGATCGTTTCAAGTAATAAAGTAGTGAATAAGAATATCGTTCCACGAGAATTAATGCGTCAAGTACTATTATAACTATTCCCTTTAATTTGAAAAACTCAAATTAATTGTTGAGAATAATTTTTGAATTAGAATTAAAACTAAAATTAATTGCAGTAAATAACAAGAACGCAAGAATTGAGAATTAAATTTAGAATATCCAAAACAAAAGATGCAGTTAGAAATTATTTTACCTCAGATCCTCCTAGAGTAGTTTAAATTAATTTCAATAATAATTTACCTCAGATATTTCGGACAATTCATCTTCTAAAAATAGTTGGTTAAATTATAATGTCTTAGTGACTTTAACCCTTTACTCTAATTAGAATTCTAATGTCTTAGTAATCCCTCTTAGAATAAGCATTAAACGCGATGAATTATGAAGTCCACAACTCAAGCAAGCCTATGTTTAGGTCATACAAGAATTGATATTTTACCCCAGTCAAGATTAAAACCTCAATATGTCTATTGCTAGCCCTAACCCTCAAATCCCTATAAGAGTGATCAACTTATACAAGGATATAAAAATTCATGCAAGGTAAAATACAAATACTGAAATAATTTATTAAAGAAACTAAATTAAACCACAAATAGGATTCACATCGGATCCATAATCCTAACTACATAAATAAACTTAGCCTAACATGTTCATAAATTCAGAATAAAAAGATGCTTAAAGATAAAAAGAGTTCATGATAAAACTTGGTTGATGATCAATAATGAAACTTCAATCTCCTTCTCCTCATCTGGAATCCCGCTCCAGTATTTCTCCTCCGCTTTTGCCTTCGTGTTCACCTTTCTTTCGTCTTCTGAATCGTCCCCGTTGAAGGCTTCGTCGCGTTGTATTTATAGGCTGAAAACTGGGCTTTGAGTTTTGGCCCAGCTCGCTAAGGAGCTTGCTGAAGCGAGCTGCTCAGCGAGCACTTTTCTCCTCCTCGCTCACTTGCTCGCTGAAGCGAGCAGTGGAGCGAGCTTAATTGTGCTGCTCGCTTACTTGCTCGCTGAAGCGAGAAGTAAAGCAAGTTTGGCCGAATATTTTTATATTTATTTAATTTCGTATTTTTCTTGATATTCAGCCGATGCCAACTGCCTCCTCATCCTTATCAGGTTAGTAATTTGTTATTCTAGTCTGAAACAACCTGAAACAACAACAAAGATTAGGATTTTATCTATTTGTTGGCTATCTTTTAATATTTTATTTAATTAATACTATATTTTTAATTATTTTAATTATTATTTGAATTATTTTTAACATTAAAAACATAGTGTCTTTGACACTTATCAACAAGCCATCTCTAAATAATTTTGCACAAGCCCTCAAGCCTTATCTCTAATCTCACACAGATATTCATTCTCAAATAAGTTTTCACATGAAACCTTTTAACATTAAACTGCAGAAAGAAGAAAGAATCAAAAACTAAAATTTGAAAACAGCTTGAAAGCATGATTGATTGAAATAGAATTACAAAGTAAAGAATCATACACAGAGCCCTTATGTCTTATGTGTGTATTAGTGTCTGTTTGGATCCTCTTATTTTTAAGCTAGAAGCTACTTATAAGCATAAGTTAGGCTAAACAGGTTTTGAAAAAAGCTCTTATAACGAAAAGCTCTTTTTTTTATAATGAAGAAAAAAACTGAAAATTAAAAGCTCCTAGGAGGAGTTTTTTTAAGCTCTTATCTGTTTTTTTGAATTGTGTGCTTTTTTTTTTTAAATGAAGAGTGATAAAAATAAAGAGAGAAATAATTTTCTTGAAATATGTGCTTTTAACTAATTTTTAAGCTAAATTTTTTATGTAATTTTCAAACAGCTTTTAGTTTCTTTTTTTAAGCTCTTTTTTTAGCTTTAGCTTATAAGTAGCTTCTAGCTTAAAATAAGAGGATCCAAACAGGCTCTTAATCTTGTTTAAATAAGATTGAAAATGATTTGTTAACTTATTTATGTTTTATTTTATTTTTTAAATAGTGATACATGACCTTTACTCTAAAAGTTAAGACCAAATACGCCCGCATTTCACAATTGCATTGATGTTTAAATTATAAGGTTCACGGGAGAATATATGAGGTGAAAATTCCCAAATTTAGAGCTAGGGCATATGTGTGTGGACACTACTTGGAAGTAATCTTCCTCACTAGAATTGGTTAACCGAATAACTGGACCTAAATATTGAAATAGTTTAGTTGGGTACTTTTTGGTTAAGGTTAGAATCTGTATGTATGAACTGAATTACACTTATTTTTTGGTTTGTTATAGTTTGGTTCAGTTAATTGGAACCAATTTGCATAGTGCACAATAGTTGGGTACTCTAAAAGTATCTTGTTGAACTAGGATAATTGAGTGTATAAAAAAGTGATAGCATATGGGAATCAAAATAGGTTGTCAATGGTATTCCACTACTTCGTTGTTGTCTTCACTATCTTTTGCCGATTCATGTTCACATTTTGTAATTTTTAATTACTTTTCTTTCTATACATATAGGCATGAGTTTTTCAATACTAATTCATCATACAGGTGGTGTTGTTGGAAGATGGTTTTGGTGTTGGGAGAAGAAAGAGGTGTGCTCCTCACAATCTTGGAGCTCATCATCTTGTAATGTGCTGTGTTCGAACACAGCTTGAGAATATTATAACTGTTAAATCAACATAATCAATTTAACGGTGAAACAAATTGGTAGTAACATTAGTGGCAATACTAATTGATAATACCAATATCCTATCTCTAAATATATCGTGTCAAATTTTGGAGTTTGTAAAAATTGGGTAAGCAAATTACTACATACCAGTGCCATGTTTCTTAAATATTATGTGTATCACTAAGAAAAAATTTTAATTCTCCCGTAGTAAGTACAACAAACCAATAAGAGTGTGTCACATGAGTTGATATTTTTCTGAAGAGAAAAAAAACAATTTTAATACTTTACACTATATATTTCCCGAAAAATAGTGTAAAATCTCTCGGTGATTAGTATCCCCATTGTACTGAAAGTGCTCTTGTATTACTAATTTTTTTAAATAGGGTTTAAAATGATAATTACTTTCTTAACGCCTTATTTTATTTTGAATAATGATACATGACATGTACTCTAGAAGTGGGGACCAAATATTGGTATGCTCACAATTGCATTGGGTTCAAAATTCAAATTCTAGGATTCACAAGAGAGCGTGTTAGGTGAAGTATCTCGTTGATATAGGATGAATGTCCATATGAAAAATTGATAGCATTTGGTAATGTGGTTACTGTGGTAATCAAAAAGGGTTGTCTCGTTAGTTAACTCCGCCACTTTGTCATTGTCTTCATTGTTTTTTATTGAGCCATGTTCACATTTTATATTTTTTAAATATTTTTTTTTTGTAATCTTAAATACTTTTCTTGGTTACGAGCAGATGTAGGCATGAGTTTTTCAATAATAATTCATAATAGAAGAGAATTTGTGAACGAACCTAAAAGGAATTATTAAGCGGTAGAAGTTCAAGCAATTTAATGAAATAAGTCATTCACTTTTAAATTTTGTAGCTTTGACATTAGTCATTGACTTATTTATTATATTCTTTTATCCGAGTGACTTCAATGAAAATTTAAACAAGTGAGCATAATTTGCAGGACATTAAGCGATCCGATTGAAGTTTAGGTTGGTCTAATTACGAGAGTTGAAGAAAAAATATTTAAGGAAATATTTGATTGACTTATTCAAGAAATATGATCTCAATTGAATTTATAACTCAAATTAAAATAATTTATATTTAAAGAAAGTTTATATATTTGATAATTAAGATTTCATATGTATTTTGAATTTGAGTTTATCAAATAATATGTTGATTTAATTTATGATAAATTATTCTTATCTCTATCTTAATAAAAAAATTATCTTTAGGATAATTATCTTTTTTCTTTTGAAAAAATTCTTATTTTTAAGAAATAATTATCATTATTTTGTATTTTAAAATTTTCTCCATTTTAATATTTTATATTATGATTATTTCTACCATTCTATAATTTTTTATTTTTTATTTTATAGAGATAAAATTATTAAATAGAAATTACTAAAAGATTTATATCTTTTAGACGTAGTTTTCAAAATAAATAGATAACATAAAATAAGAAAAAGAATATGACACCACCTTTGAATTTTGACCCGTTTGTAAATTAGTACTATAAACTCTAAAATATTTTTATTAAGTATCTAAATTATGATTATTCCGTCAAAAATTTCTTTAATCCAAATTCTAGTAACCCACTAACCAATTATAGTGTGACATAATCGTAATCTTTTATTTATGTGATAATTACACAGTTCATTCAAATTTTAAATAAAATTCTATTTTAATATTTAAAAACACATAAAATACAAAACTATGAAAATATTATTTGGTTAAAGTAATATTTTAATAATTAATAATGAAAAATATATAAGCTGAAATAAAATTAGAGAAAAAAAAGTGATACGCAAATGACACAGACCTTTCTAATATTTGGTTGAACAAGTAAAATACATAATGAATGAAAAATGAAAAAAAGATGATGTTGGAGGTTGGTCCAACTGCAGTAGTTGAAGAATGGGTCGGTTAAAGCGCGTGTGTACAAAACAAAACATGGACCCATTATAAACACCAACACCACTTTTTCACAGGTCAAACAAGGCGTGTGTGTACCCTTTTCCCACACCACATTGCATTATTCAATTCTATGAAAAACAGCTAATAAATATTCATTGCATCGCATTGGATCACACTCCTTCTCTATATCCCTTACTCATTATATCAAATCCTTATTATTCATTCATTCATTCGTTCCTTCATTCATCAAACTCCTCCTCCTATGGCGGCCGTGGGTAGTTCCTCCGCCGCCGCCGTTGTTTCCTCCTCCGCCAAATTCCGCCGTTCTCTTGCCTTACCGCCTTCTCAATTCTTCATCCCTTCCAAACCCTCCATCTCACGCGCTCGACTCTCTCTCAATCCCAGATGCGAAATCGTTTCCAACAATTCCATTCCAAAAAACGTGATCGCTTCAAAGCCTTCGGCTCTCGAGTTGCTGAAAACTTCCGCAGCAGATAGTGAGTCTTCAATCTTCATTCCCCTAATACTCCATTAACCAATTTTCCCTTTTCCCAAAATTCCCATTAAAAAAAATATAATCTTTGAAAAAAAAAATACAATAGATATCATTGAGTATGGAGTTGAAGTTATTTTTGTTTGTTTGTTTGTTTTTGTGTGTTAGGATATACGAAGGAAAGGAGTAGCATTATTGCGATAGGGCTTAACATTCACACGGCTCCGGTTGAGATACGTGAGAAGCTTGCAATCCCAGAAGCACAATGGCCTCAGATCATTGGGGAGCTTTGTGATTTGAACCATATAGAAGAAGCTGCTGTTCTTAGCACTTGTAACAGGATGGAGATATATGTTGTGGCTCTATCTCAGCACCGCGGTGTTAAAGAAGTTACTGAGTGGATGTCTAAGGTATACTTATCCATCTTCTTCCACTTTAATATCATGATCCGATCTATTCTCTGCACTCTAAAAAAACATGAAGATAGGATGCAAGGAACTAAAACAAACAAACAACTGCGGAAACACTTTCTAATTTTTGCAGAGGTTGTTTTCTGACTCAACGGCGAGCCTTAGAGCATGTTTGGATTTTATTTTGTTTTTAGGGGGAAAAAAAAGAGTTAAAAAATAATAATTGAAAGTTGTTGGATGATTGCATAAAATTTTTAGCTTAGCACACATTTCAAGAAAAATCTCTCCTGTTTATATGTCTATGGTTCTTCGTTTTAAAAAAAAATACATAATTCAAGAAAAGCTAATAAAAGCTTAAAAAAAAAAAGCTCCTATGAGGAGCTCTTGTCTTTTGGTTTTTTTCTTCATTATAAATAAGAGTTTTTCATTATAAGATTTTTTCTCAAAACCTGTTTGGCCTGACTTTTATTTATAAGGAGAAAAGAAGCTAAAAATAAAGGGATCCAAGTAGGCACTTAGAGTAATGACAAGGTTGCTACCTATGAAGCACCGACACTTCAAAATTCTTGACGTTTCGTGTCCGACACTTTCCGACACTCACCGACACTCTAATACTTGTTGCAAAGACTCCAAAAAAAGGTTCAAAGGTTATGTTGCGTTGCATTTTGAGTTCCAACTATTAGATTCGTTGGATTATGATTACTATTTTATTGAGTTTAATATAAACATTTGGAATATCTTATGTTTTTTTGCAAAATTGATGGGTATTATAAGTTTAGCTTTATTTTTTTGTTAAACTATTGAATATTAAATATAATATACATTACATAAATTAAAAATATTATATAATATCAAAATGTGTCTTAACGTGTCGAAATTTAACATTTTTTAGAATTAACGTGTCAAAGTGTCGTGTCGTGTCGTATCCCGTGTCCTGTGGTAATGTCGGTGCTACATAGGTTGCTACCTGTGACCAAGATCATAGGTTCAAGTCTTAGAAATAGGCTCTTTGTAAAAATGTGTAAGGGTAAGGATGGACTCTTCATCTTACCCTCGTAAGTCCGGAGCCTCGAATTTATGAATTTTCAGTCATAAAGGATGCGAGGAACTTAAAAAAAAAAAGAGTTTTCTATCTTTTTTGTTTTTATTTAACAAATTTTTGTATTCTTTTCTTTTTATACAATGGAAGCACTGAGATTTGAATCTATGACCTCATGCAAACTATCCAAACCTTTCACCATTAGACCAACCCTAGTAGCTTATTGTTGTATTCTTTTAACTTGCAGACAAGTGGGGTTTCAGTACCGGAGCTTTGTAAGCACCAAATTTTGCTGTATAACAGGGATGCCACAGAGCATCTGTTTGAAGTGGCTGCTGGGCTTGACTCGCTTGTTCTTGGGGAAGGTCAAATTCTTGCCCAGGTGAAACAAGTTGTAAAAGCTGGACAAGGAGTGGCTGGATTTGATAGGAAAATCAGTGGGTTGTTCAAGCAGGCAATCTCTGTTGGAAAGCGAGTTAGAACTGAGACTAACATTTCCTCGGGGTCAGTTTCTGTCAGCTCAGCTGCTGTGGAGTTGGGTCTAATGAAGCTTTCAGAATCTTCCTATGCTAATGCTAGAGTGTTAGTAATTGGGGCAGGAAAGATGGGTAAACTTGTGATTAAACATTTAGCAGCAAAAGGGTGCAAAAAAATGGTGGTTGTTAACAGAACTGAAGAGAAAGTCAATGCCATTCGTCAAGAGTTGAAAGGTGTTGACATAGTGTTTAGACCTCTTTCGGAAATGCTAGCATGTGCTGCTGCAACTGATGTAATCTTCACTAGCACTGCATCTGAATCCCCATTGTTTTCAAAAGAGAATGTGCAGATGCTTCCTCTAGTTAGCCAAGGTGCCATGAGGCGACTTTTCATTGATATATCTATTCCTAGGAATGTGGAACCAGGTGTCTCAGATCTGGAGACTGCACTTGTGTACAATGTGGATGATCTCCAGGAAGTTGTTGCAGCTAACAAGGAGGACAGACTCCAGAAAGCTGCAGAGGCCCGGGGAATTATCCAGGAAGAATTGAATAAATTTGAAGCATGGAAAGACTCCCTGGAAACTGTACCTACTATTAAGAAATTTAGAGCTTATGTTGAAAGGATTAGAGCCTCTGAGCTGGAGAAGTGTTTGTCAAAGATGGGCAATGACATCTCAAAGGAGCATAAAGAAGCAATTTATGCCCTTAGTATGGGTATTATGAATAAGCTACTTCAAGGTCCCATGCAGCACCTGAGGTGTGATGGGAATGATAATCATAGTCTGAATGAAGTACTTGAGAATATGCGTGCTCTTAACAGAATGTATGATCTTGAGACAGAAATATCCTTGATGGAAGAAAAGATCAGAGTCAAGATGGAAAAGGCTCAGAAGTAAACTCTTCTTAAAATGGTCCTCACTTTATATGATTCATGTGGAGGCTGCAACCTTCACCATTTTGTACACTAAAATAGTGAATTGAGGCCCTTTAAAGGCTAATTCTTTTAATTATTTGTTAACCTTACACAAAGTTGAATGGGCATTGATGTCCCACACTGAATTGAAAATTTTAAATTTTTCGACTTTGGCATAGAGTGTAGTTGAAGATTCATGATCCTCAATCCTCATGACAATAGATGATTCTTGTATTTTTGTAATTAATATAATTGCGAGGCCGAGTATAAATATTTGATTCCAAGATGTTATCTTCATATATAGTTTTGTTCTCTTATTTTCTGCCTATCTTTTGGTCATGTTTACCATACAAATTTGGATGGTAAGATGATCACAACTTTGCTGATTGTTCTGGGAGACTTTTGTGATAATTGCATGAATGCAAGTTTGATAATGAATTATCTCGAATACAATATTTTACTTCATTCTCTTCTTCCATAATATGTTCTCAGTTTTACATGGTGTATGCATTCGTTTCATTTTTTAACACAATTTTCTACTTTCTAAATAACAAAGATACTAACAGTGCCACAAACCGAAGCATTGACAGAGTGGGACCTGGCTATGGGGAAAGAAGAGTGTAATCTATGCCATCAATAAAAGAACTGAATATGATAAAGGGATTTTGTACATGCAGAACTTGCATTTGCCGTCGATGCTTGATGAGAAGAACCACTGATTCAATGGCAACAAATTTCATTCTCAATCTTTCAACCTTGTGCACATGATGATGATACCCATGGTGTTTGTTTTAGTTGGCGTCAAACCAAGAGACACAAAATTGATTGGTTTATGAATCTGATGAGCCTGATGCAACTACACTAAGATCCCAATTATTGGAATTGCATCTGATTCTTGAAGCCATGAGGGTTAGAAACCTTCAGCCAGCTCTCACATAGGTATCTGCCAACAGAGAGAAACTTGTCCAGAATGGTTCCAATCTCGAGCTTAAGATTCATACTCTGCAGTTTCTAGAGGTCCTGCAAAATGCAACCCAAGATGATGATGCTTTAAAATATGCCCAAACTTATCTTGCTCCTTTTGCTTCCCTCCACAAAAATGAGCTCCAAAAGCTTATGGGTTGCCATGCAGGAAGGCTCGAGAGCTCTCCTTATTCTGAGTTGGTGTCCCCAATCCATCGGGCGACGGCAACCGAAGAGCTGACACGGCAGTTCTGCGCCCTCTTGGGGCAGTCCTACCAGAGCTCATTGAGTGTGGCAGTTGCAGCTGGAGTGGAGGGGTTGCCTACACTCTTAAAGTTGGCAAAAGTAATAGCAGCAAAGAAGCAGGAGTGGCAGTCAATAAAACAGTTGCCAGTGCCTCTAGAATTGGGGGAGGAGTTTCAGTTCCATTCAATTTTTGTTTTCCCTGTGAGTAGGGATCAAGGGAGTGAAGAGAATCCTCCAATGCTTCTGTCATGTTCACATGTCCTTTGCAAGCAGTCAATTCTGAAGTTATCAAAAAGCAGCATGCGAATATTTAAGTGTCCATACTGTCCACAAGAAGCTACAGTTGCAGAATGCAGACAGCGTGTATTTGTAAATATTTAATGGGTGAAGTTCACCTTTCTGGTTTGTATATAAATAGTCTTGCTAAATTCTCTTCTACATTTGATATGACCAATTCAATGAATGAAATTGAGAGAATCTGTTTACATGCCAGAGCTGTGGCCTCATTCTTTTACCCCATTAGTTCATTAGATTAACTTGTAGATTTCCTTGGGAATCATCTACATATACGCAGAATATGGCTGCTTAATGAACGAATTGGGAGTCAAAGGTTTTACGGGAACAATGTTTACTGACACAATTCTTGCATTCACAGCTCTAATTTGCGCAGGTGCTTCCATGATCACACGTTAAACTTCTATGGGTTGCTAGTACAGTAGTGTACAATTATGAATGCATTAACCGTGTTTAGTAGATTACTCTACTTAAGTATTCACCAATATCATTACATCAATACCTTGTGCTACACGCTTTTAAACTTATGCCAAGAAATAGGATATGCTAATTAGGAATTAGCTATTTACTACAGCCCAGCTACGCTTCTTAGCATGAAAATAATTCAAAGTATTAGTAAACATTAATAGCATTTGCGCCTTCTAGATCATAGTATAGTAAGAGTGGCTGTGGCTGTAAAGATTTGATTAAAGGCTCTAACCGGACCGGATTAAGGGTAAAAAAAATCGGATTTATGATATAATTTTTTATTTTTTATTTCAAAAAATACTATTTTGACAAAATCATTACAATTTTTTTTTTCAAAAAAAAAATCATCTGATTATTATAAAAAAAAAAAAACACAGACACACACGAACACAATTAAACGGTCTAATATCTTCTATGGTTTTTTGTTGTTTAGTAGTGCTCCATGCATATCAGTTTTGGGCTGCACTATTATAGTTGATTAAATAAAAAGTTAATGCACCCATTGCGTATTAAATTTTCCCTTACAAGCTTATTAATCTAACCTAATGCAGTTGCTAAATATCAAAATTCTCGATAAAAGATTAAGCTAAATAATGATAATAATAATCTGAATGAAAGAATTCAATGCTGGTATTTGACAAATTAGGGCCCTATGATGAATGGTATTTCGAAGGGAGCCGCTTTCGGCATAGCTTATGCTCGACCAAATCAGTTGCTTCTTCCATCAAATATGGAGGAACAAAGCTTTCCTTCCATCCAAGATCAGTCTTGAACATTTCATGCACAACTCAATATTCTCAAATCTTGGTCCCAGAACTTCGCAGCATGCCCCCCAACATCTCCAGTGGAATTTTTCAGCATATGTTAGTGCAATATATGCAATTTGATAGCTTCTCCAGTTTCTATAACCTACCAGTTCTACCAAAACCATCATGGATTAGTTGTGACAATATATCAACCCATGTGTCAGGGACACCAGGCAGACACCAATGCATGCAATCCTGACCCCAAATTTCGACTGCATCCTTCCTTCCTAACCAAATTGCCGGATGAGCATCAGCTCTAAACTCACTTAAATGAGTCAAGTCAAGCAATTGGATGTCTGTTCCTTTTAACGCCTCTTCGATCACAAAGTTCAACTGTCTTGCTTCCTTGTTAACTCCATTGTTCCTGGGTTCAAACCATGAGTCAAGCTGTCCATGTATTAGTATCCCGTACAAAATTCAACATGTCTCTCAGAAAACGTGAAGCATCCAAGTCGTTTGGAATTAAAACTTTTTTCAAATGCAGCTAGAGTTGGATGTTTATGTAAATGTGAGATATTACACAGGTACATGACAGAGAAATTTGGGAAAATAAGTTCTAAAATATTGCAATTTCATGGTATTAGGAATCTGGAGAACCGGGAAAATTATTAGCCATTGTGAGAAATACCTAGAAGAGATAAAATCAAGGCAAGTTTCAGAAATACACACCTCATTCTCCTCAAGTGGCTTGTTGAACAAGCAGCTACCATTTTGATTCCAGTCTCCGCCATAAAAGTGCCTTGGGGATTGTAAACGCCAGAACTTAAGTGTGTTTCCAGGATATTCTTTTTGTATGTATGGGATCATGTTACCAAGAACAACTTTAAGTCCATCCAACATCCCAAGTGGAGGAACTATTGGTTGTCCTGCTTTATAAAAAACAAGAGGTTTCTCTTTCGGGAATTTGTCATAATTCCACCTATTAAAGACAAAATCAAGTAACTGTATATATTCAATCATTGGAAAAGTTTATAAAAATGCTTAAGCAACTCAAAATTAACTGGAGACCAGTTGCATTAAAACATATGTTGCTGCATGAGTAATCTTGATACAGAATAAATTAGGATTATTTGTGTTATTTTTCACATATGGATTTAATGATAATTATGTTATCTAGGATACTGACATCTTTCCTTAGTTTTAGGGATTTTATCTTCGATAAGATATCCACTTTAAGGAAATTTATATTTTATTAAGATTATGTATCTATTATGATTTATTTAGGACTTTTATTATCTTTGGGATATAAAAACCCTTTAGATGCCTTACGTAATTTGGACTTTTGCACAATTGATAATTAATATTTCCTTGCTTAAGTGATAATTGATATTTCCTTTAGCAGAAAGAGCACTCATCGTTATCAGAGACTTTATCCTTAGAGGAGTGCTCTAGCCTCTAGGTTTATCAGGGAAGTACTCTGCTAAGAGGAGTACTCTTGGGTACCTGTCCTACATCAAATCTCTTTTGAGTACTTTTTAATGTATTACTATTATTACTTATTTAATTCATTCAACAACTCTTCAACAGCACATATAGGCAGTCAAAACTCAAAACATTATGAAAGTATCACTGCATCATCCAAAATATTCAGGAAAAGGAAGGAAGAATTACCAATGACCAGTATTGAACACCAGGACATCATAGAAGCCAGAGATTTTAGCCCAATCGTCGGCAGGAACATCAACATCAACTCGATAAATACCTTCTGATCCATCTTGCATCCCAGCTTCAGATTGTTTTGGCAGCCACCTTTGTTTAATCAATAATGAGCACATAAGGTTGCCATTTCAAAATTCACAACAAATAAACAAAGTAAAACAAGACATTTAACTAGCAACCACCCAAACAGAGGAGACATTTAACAAGAATTGAGATAGAGTCAGTAGATGAAAACTGTAAAAATCAAAACCTTCAGAGAAATAAGCTAAAAGCCAAAACCCTGACATACTCAAACAAGATAACAAAATAAAGAAACAGAGATGGTTGACTTTATGGATCGCTGTCTTTAATCCCATTTTTTAACAAGTCAAATTACAAAAATATTTAATCTGACTCCAACATAATCATTATTACCTAATTTGAAAGTTCCCCCCTCCCCACCCTGTTAAAATAACAATTAAACACACTAGTGGTAAAGGAAAAAGAGGCCAACCAATATCCATAAACATATTTTAATAACCAAAATGAAGTATACCTATTCTGAAAATCATAAAAAAGGAAACGTGAGGGGTAAGCATCACTGTGTATCTTTGTTCAGATGCATGTATATATCGTAGTATAATGGATTTTTTGGTGTGTATGCATAAAGAATTAATATATGCGTGGAAAAAGTGAATTTGTCAATAAAATGCAGAATCTGTAACAAGCATATTATGCATCTTCATGAAAAAAGGCAGATAAAATGTATTTGTTTAGATTTCTGAGATGTTTTGTGCAGCTGCAGTCTTTATATTTGAGTGTTTCTGATATTAATGCATCTTCTTAAACAATTCCAAAAGAAAAGAAGTGCTGCAGATCATGTCTATGTGTGTTTCTGATCCATAAAATGGGCAGCAGGCTGCAGCAGTGTAGGAGAAATAACTTTGAAATGGAAATGTCATATTCACAAATGTGGCTAAAATGAGGATCAACAGCAGGACAGAGTATAGAGAAGTAGGACAGATCAGTGTTGCAACCCAAAAAGAACATGCACTCATTAACTACATCTGCCAGCTAGAGCATCACTTTCCCTATAATTTGAAAGTTTAAACACTACCATCTCAATCCATGAACAAGTTTGCAGCTTTAACCTCCTTAAACTGCCACCTATCAAACTCGATTCCACTGGCACACGTTCCTCAACAATGAGTGTCAACTACACATCATAGTTGAGACACAAGACAAAAAGGTAAGCTTTAAATATCATTCCTTTTTAGCCATAAATTTTAGTCAGCCAATACAAGCTAAAATCAGTTGGTTGTTATCAATCTTCCAGCATAAGTTCAACACTTTTAACAAATCTCTAAGAATCTAAGCTAGTTCTTGCAAGGAATTATCCGAAAAGAAAACTATTTGGCAATTAGTTTGTCAACTATGAATAAGTACTGATATCCTAGTAGAAAAGCAGTATTTAGCAATTTGCAAAATTCTGAACCAAACAAACTTGCTAAATGAGAATCTTACTGGTATTTGGAGAGCAAAACCGCACGATGATAAGAGACAGTGACATTGAACTTGGGAAAATAGGCACCCCTCCAAGCACCCTTCTTTTTCCACTTCTTTGCACCCTCATCAGCAACCCTGAGAATGCAGAGAAAAGAAGCCAAGAAATTCTCATTGAGCGAGTCCCCAACAAACCCAATATTCTTATTCCTCATCAGACCCAGAAACCGAAACGGGTCGATCCGAGGCAAATGGCAGCCATGGGGCACCCATTTCCAAGAGTTGATCAAGCTCAGATTTTGCCTCTGGTTTCTGATGCAATTCCAGGCGTTTCGATGGAAGGGGCATGTGTGGTCGTAGAGTGGGTTGCGATTGGGATCCAAGACCCAGTAACCTCTGAAGAGATTGCAGTTTGAGACTGCATGTGATTGTGAGGTTAAAGAAGAAGAAGAAGGTAGATTGAGAGAAAGGAATGAAGAGAAGAAATAGAGGGATGCAAGTGTCAACAAGATGAGCAAAGGGAACAGAGGTGAAGAAGGTAACTTTGGAGACATAATTGTAAATGCTGGGATTCAATTCATGCCCGAGGGTTACCTAATGTAATTTTCTTTTTCTTATATTAATTTAAATGAAATAAACCTTCCATTAAAGTCATGCCCGAGGTTTACCCTAGAATTCTTATTTCCGAAAGAAATCTAAAAATTCTAATTAATCCGGAATCTCGATTTTTAGAAATATGATTTTTACATTCAGTTTACTATAATATTCTAAAATTAAAAATTTTAAAAAATTCAGTTTCCCGAAAATCCTGGAAAATATCGCGTACCAAACGCTCCCTTAAAATTTATACATTCCCTGAATTTTTATATTCCTAGGATTTAAATTTAAACTTAAAAATCTCATATTCTCAGCTCAAAATATCATTTAACATGTGATATTTTAAAAATCTTACGTGGTGGGAAAATATTGACCCAATGTTTGTGATAATATTTTAATCTATCAAATATTTTTTTATAATATTCTCGAAAAATTCAATTTCCCACCATATTATGGGAAATCGTAATTTTTGAGTAAAAAAAATAGTCTATCAAATGCCCAAAAAATAATTGATTTGAGTTTCACCTAATATTTATTTAATTCATACATAGTAATAAAGTGGGAATTCTTTATATTTATTTTTCTCACAAGAATTTTGTTCATTGCATATTTAAAAAAATGAGACAGGATATATTTACCACCAAAAAAATTTATAACTTTTACAACCAACTTAATCAGTGCTGATTTTCGTCAATCTAACGGTTATAATTTATTGGAAATTATTGGGTCGCATTTATTAATTAATTATTAATTTCCAACAAATTATAATCGTTAGATTGACGAAAATCAACACTGACTAAGTTGGTTGTAAATGTGGTAAACTTTTTTGGTGGTAAGTATATCCTGCCCCATTTTTAAATGGGCAAGGATATACTTACCACTAAAAAAGTTTACCACATTTACAACTAACTTAATCACCGTTGATTTCTGTCAATCTAATAGTTATAATTTATTAGAAATTAATAATTAATTAATAAATGCGACCCAATAATTTCCAATAAATTATAACCGTTAGATTGACGAAAATCAGCACTGATTAAGTTGGTTGTAAAAGTTATAAATTTTTTTGGTGGTAAGTATATCATTTCCCTTTACAAATAGAGAAAAGTGTAAAAGATACAAATTTAGATCCTTTTAAGAGAGATAGACACAAAGAGGTGGTCCTCAAACTTTTATTATTTACTTTGTTGTCTTTATTTTTTAGTGGAACTCACATCTCTTTGTGTCTATCCATCTATCTATCTATCTCGTAAAAGGATATAAGTTTATGTCGTGGCGGAGCCAAGGAAAAAGTCAGATAGTGCCATAAGACCCGGCCAGGTAGAATCAGGTAGTGCCAAGATTATATTAATTTTAAAAATTCAACTAATACCAAGGCTATATCATAATTTTTTTAAAAAAATCTATACTATTTGTTAAGAACCTTGAGGTCACCATTCTACAAGCTAGCTCAAGGAGTGGGAATGCCCAAGGCCTTATAAAGGCCATATTAGTTGCCCATCCCATTAATGTGGGACTATATATCTCAACACGCCCCCTCACGCAAGAGCCCTCTGGGCTAGAAGCGTGGAATTGCACAGGCCCAATTTTTGGTTTACCTTTTTGTGCTTTTTATTTTTAATTCCACTTGAAAGTGGGGGGCCGCGAGAATCGAACTTGTGAACTTAGTCACTCAAGCTCTGATACCATGTTAAGGAACCCTGGGAAACACCCCAAAAACTAGCTCAAAGTGTGGGAGTGCCAAAGGCCTTATAAATTCCACATTAGTTGCTCTTCAACCAATGTGGGACTATGTATCTCATCACGCCCTCTCCCGCAAGAGCCCTCTTGGCTTGAAGCGTGGATTATGCAACAGGCCCAATCTTTGGTTTACCTTTTTTGTGCTTTCACTTTAAAGTGGGGGGCGGTGAGGATCGAACCTCAAGCTCTGATACCATGTTAAGAACCTTGAGGTCACCACCCTAAAAGCTAGCTCAAGGAGTGAGAATGTCCAAGACCTTATAAAGGCCATATTAGTTGCCCATCCAATTAATGTGGGACTATATATCTCAACACTATCTTAAAAAATTAGGTAGTACCAAAACATCACCTACCTCCCTAGTGGATCCGCCATTATTTATGTCATTTATAAAGACAATATTTTTTCCTTAAAAATAAGGGTTCGCTTTGTCTACAGTTACTGCAGATAAGTTATCTGCAATAAGCCCAATACGACGTCATTTTGAGACGAAAATTCTGGTGTTTTTGTAATTTTAATTTATTTCAGGATTATTATAGTCCTTATAATTATAATTTTTTAATATTTCAATCCCAAAACGACGTCGTTTTGGGAGTAAATACAGATAACTTATATGCAGTAACTATAAAATATTTTTTCTGTAAAAATAATGTAAAATTATTTCATCCGTCTACATTTCTCATATATCTTTTATAATTTCAACTTTTTTCAAATTCATGTTTATTATATTTTATCTAAATATAAAAATAGTTGACTAGTTATTGACATTAAAAAAGAATAAAAAATCAAATAAGTAACTCAGTTAGCGCACAAGAATTGAATAAATAGATAAAGTATGTGTTTGATCGTATTATTTTTGGAGGGTTTAAAACGTAGATCCACTTCATAATCCGAATAAGGGCCCATTTGGATGAGCTTTTTTTTCTTCAAAAGCTGCTTTTTTTCAAGAAAAAAAGCACTTTTCATTTTTAGTTCATTTGGATGTCTGCTTTTAAAAAAAGGAGAAGTCACAAAAAAAGTCAAAAACCTACTTTTTTCAGAAGTTAAAAATTTTAACTTCTCAAAAAAGCAGAAGTCAAAAGTCAAATATTTTTTTCAAAACCTAAATATTTTTATAAAAATATAAATAGCTTTAACTTTTATAAAAAATACTTTTAAAATAAAGAAGTGGTAAAAGTTACTTTTGAAAAAAGCTTAACCAAACGAACACTAATTAATCTATAAAAAAGCTATGTAATTACCGGTGATACTAAAAAAAAAATTTAAAAAAAGTAAAGAAAATATCTGGAATAGGATTTGCTCACAATAATTTTGTTTGCTGGAAATGAAATCCGACAAACAAGTTGACATAACATAACCGTACGCGCTCCCTCGCTGCCTCACAATCGCAGGTGGATTCGAAGAGAATAATAATAATAGTAATAAAATACATCGTCCGTACCACAAGGGTTCCTGTTAACGATCTCGGATCCATTTTGTTCATTAGAGAAAAATGGATTGCGCCGGTGGTGGTCAGAGTTTGTTTCCGTTGCATCGTTGCAAAACCGTTCACCTGGTTGGTAACATTCAACTCTGTTACATGATTATGAATCATTTTTGTTAAAAGTTTCATTTTTACGAAAGAAGGTGCATCCAGGTCAGGCACGCGCAGGGGATTCACAATGTAGAGGGAGACAAGAACTACAAAGCTTACTTGAATCCTGAATACTTCGATGCTCATCTTACCCCGTTAGGGTGGTTGCAGGTAAAACCACCACTTTGCACACAAAGTTTGAGTCTTATCACATAATCTTAATCATCATCATCATCATCTTTCTCTGATTCTGCTCCGTTAGGTTGACAATTTGCGTAACCATGTTCGTGCCTCTGGCCTTATAAACAAGATTGATCTCGTCATAACATCTCCTTTAATGAGGTATTAACAACAACCACAATTACTCACTCAAATACCCTTTTATGTATATAAGGGTTTTGAAACTTAAAAGGGAGTTTAGTGATCCAACTTACTAATCTGGTTGTGATGTAAATGTGTTTTCGGCTTATTTGCATATACTGTATTTTTTTTTTTTTCTCTTATGAGTAAATATGGGATCCTAGAGGTAGTTTACATATATTTTTGCTTGTGTGAAATTGCTTTTGTAACTGTGTTGAGGCAAAAGACAGTTTTTGACTTGTGGGGTACAACTTATGGTTTCAGGACTCTACAAACAGCAGTTGGGGTATTTGGTGGTGAGGGGTACACTGATAAATCGGATGTGCTGCCTCTTATGGTTGCAAATGCAGGGAATAGCAGTCGTGCTGCAATTTCAAGTCTGAATTGCCCACCAATTGTTGCTGCTGAACTTTGTCGGGAACATTTGGTATGCAATTCTACACTTTGAACATCTTTTAACCTGTTCCGGGAGAGAGGCTACATCATGTTGCTACATGTACTAGAGTTAACAAGTTCAATCTCCATCTTAGCATGGATAGATTTTATTTTTTTTTCTTGGATTCTTGGTCATGAAAATCTTTTAACCATCAAGATAATGCCTGCAAACCCATCATTAATCTGGATTCTTAGTTCTAAAAGTTTACCTTTTATGGAACAAAGATCATAAAAGCACATTTTTTATATAAGGTTCCTCAAGCTTGATATAACGATGACATATGGAGTATGGACCTTGCGAATTTCTTTTCATGTTTTTCTCATGCAGGGCGTTCATCCCTGTGACAGAAGAAGAAGTGTTAGCGAGTATCAGTTTCTTTTTCCTGCTGTTGATTTTTCACTGGCAAGTGCTTAGACTTCAAGTGCCTGAATGCTTGTGGTTTATGATTTATGGAAGATGGCTGACTCCTTTCTTTAGCTGTACAAGTACAATAGTTGGGCAAAATTTAATTTGTTCCCTTTGGATTTATATTAGTCTCTTCAATTTTTCGTTTCAGATAGATAGCGATGAGGATATTTGGTGGAAGGCCAACGTTAGAGAGACAAAGGAAGAACTTGCAGCTAGGGGGCTGAAGTTCATAAACTGGTATGAGTTTGTTACTGCCAGAAACCTCTAATGTTTCTTTTATGAGTTTGTTACCTCAGCAATACTACATGTGGAAAACCCACTAAAATTGGACTTTAATGTATTACCTAGTTAATATTGTTCAACTATGTAGCTCTTTGCAATAGGAAGCCAAGATCAACTTATCTTTACTAAAATGTATTTCAATAATTTGTTAAGTTTACTAGAATACTAGATATAGCAGAGTATGTGTTAAATGTAATTGAAGCTGCTCAAAAGGCCGTCACTGAACTCACTTGTGCCCTCTGAAGTTGGAAAATAAATCCATTTGTCTGATATTTTAGCTATTCATCATTTGGATCACTAAGTTCATGTCTCCTTAGCAAGAAATAAGTAGATAACTTCTTGCTGTATTGCTCTTTTATGGTTATTAGAACTGATATATTGGTAGGAATTCAGATATCCATTTATTGTCAGTAGTTGAAGATTTATGTTATTCTCTGTTCAGAAATAAAGTATTCATCCTCTATCTTTTTAAATAACTTCCCATTACTTTCATGTAAGGAACTGGAAATTGCCACCAAATGCGATATAATTGAAATCTGTGTGGTTTTATTTTTACTTTTCACTTCATCACAGGTTGTGGACACGAAAAGAGAAGGAGATAGCTATTGTGACACATAGTGGATTCTTGTTTCATACTCTAAATGCGTTTGGAAATGATTGCCACCCATTGGTGAAGAAAGAAATATCCAAGCAGTAAGCTCTCAGCATCTCATGACTCCAATGTTGTTAGTTGTTATTTGTGATTCTAACCAAGTTGAATATGCATGACTTTTGAGAAAATATCTTGGTGTTTTTTTTCCTGAAATACATTTACAATTTATTCCTGATGTCTGCATTTATCAAAAAGAAGCATTACTCAGCTTTTTATCAGTCTTAGATATGTAGAAAGTGAGTGCCATATTTTCCAGTTGTTATGTAAGGTATATGTTGTTCTCGTGTGTTACTATGCAAGATGTGGTGCTTTGGATTCTTTAGTTTGGGATCAAGTTCCTGACTTCCTGCAACTGTTAAACATGATAACAAATCTAGCTGATAATGCTGGGAGCTATTTTCAGTTTTTATATTGAAGCAAATGATTGACTCATTTCACATATCCTTGTAGCTTTGCCAATTGTGAGCTTCGCTCCATGGTCATTGTGGATAGAAGGTGAGTTATACAACCTATAATACAATTAAAATATATATATATATTTATATATATATATATATATATGGGTAAAGGATTTCTCAAGTAAATGGAGATAAATTATCTCCAGTGAGCCCTAAACGACGTCGTTTTGTGGCGGAAATCAAGGTGTTATTTGTAATTCTAATTTATTGCAGGGTTATATTAGTCTTTATCATTATAATTTTTTAATCTTAGAATTCCAAAATGACGTCGTTTTGAGCTAACTGGAGATAAAATTATCTTAAGTGACCGGAGAAATACTTTTCCCCCTATATATATATATATATATATATAGGAAGGATCCGTTTACAATTTTTTTTTTACAAATTACACTAAGTATGACTGGTCATACACTCTTGATTGAAGTATGCCCAGTCATACTTAGTGTAGTTTGTAAGAGTTTGTAAATATAACCTTCCTCTATGTATGTATAATTTATGTTTTGTTTAATTATGTTTATCGTCCAGTATGACAGGAACAGAAGTGTCAACCACTAACTATCCAGGCAAGATACCTTCAGGGCCGGACCTCCCTAGTGGTGATGTGGATGAGAACGCTAAGAAATAGTGGGTTTGGTCTTTCTACTTGTTTGTATGTGTTTAGTATCATTCAAACATTAAAATGTTGGACATAATCATTAATATTTGAAGATCATGACTCTTATGAAATCTAACATGATTATTTCATATTTTTCAAACTAGTGCTTATTCTGTCTTGAAATTTAACAATTATTTAACACTTTTTTTTTTTTTTCATTTGGCGATGCAAAAGATTAGGAATAGAATAGGTTATCACAAAAACATTTTTTAGCCAAGTTCAGTTCCAAATTAATTAATCATCATGAAAATTAACCGCTTTGGTTTTAAAATTTTTGATTTTGTTTAAATTAAAGAAAAACAACTAAGAATGTCAATAGAGTGAACTTCAAATAATTTGTAAGTGGAGTTGCTAGCGAACCCATTAAGATATTGGATCATTCTCATTCAAGTACAGGGATGCAGACTCTGCTCGACCAATTAGGGCATCACACTACCATAGAGTCCATATTTGGAGCCCGGTATGTATGGTTGATTCAGGGCACCGTCATGGATCCTCTTCCAGTTTGTGCCATGAGCTAGGCCTACCATGAAAATTTGTCTCCGGAAACTTTCACCAGCTATTTTATTTAGGCTTGGGGGTCTGGCTAAGGATCTTTCTGATTCTCAAAGAAAAGAAAAGAAGTTGGGTGGGGTGGGAGGCAAAAGGATTGATCGATAAATATTTCTTGTTCTTAATATAAGATCGTGATTGGATCCATATAAGTTTGATAAAAAAAAATATTTTTCTCCTTTGAGAATAATAAAAAAAAAGGAAATTGTTTAAATGGAACATGAAAATGTTACTTGGTCCAAATTACTTTTTGGGACAGAGTGGAAGAAAGGGGAGATTCTCTAACAAGGAAAATATCCAATGACTTCAAAAGAATTGTATGAGGAGCCTAATAGTATAAATAAAATAACACAACATAATGGATTGAACTATAGGATGATTTTTTTAGATTGTTAGTTGTTTGATAATACGATTAAAAGTTTTGTATTATATGCCATTTAATACACATAAACATTAAATAAAATAATGTAAAATTCATTTTAATATTATTTATTTTGTATATTAGTTCATTTGCAATATTAGGGCTGAAAAAAAAAGGAGAAGGACTATTGGTCTTTTTATCTCTTTTTCTTGTATTACGAACATAATTTTATAATTATTTAATTTAGTAGGTAAGAAAATTTTAAAATTATGTCCCGTTAATTATACTACTTTTAATTATTATTTTTATATTTTAGTGTGCCTTATTTTTTTAACAAATGAAATGAATCCTTATTTTCTTTCTTTTGAGTTCAACCCGCAAATTCTTGAGCTTTATGTTATTTCACGCTTTAACCAACCGTTTTGTTTATTATATTTTAATGTTTTATGTTTATCATTTAACATAATATAACTTCACTTTTCTACACACACATTAAAGAGGTAGGGTCCACATGTTTTTCTTTCTCTTTCATCATTCCACTTTCTCTCTCCTTTTTGATGTGAGAGTTGGAAACAACACTTACATTATGTTACATAACACTAATAAAATCCTATATTTTATGGACTTAAAAGTTCTCATGTGAGAGGATAAACACATTATTTCAGTGGAATCCACTACTGAAAAGCAGTTTTTTAAAACCCCACTTCGCTTCCTGCTTTGACCGGAGTCAACCCTAACCTCTCCCCTCTGAGGGTTGGGGTCACAAGTTGGACCCTATATGCATATCGACCCCTCTGACCCCCAAAATCTGGCTGGATTACAGTGACTCCCGGGTCAGAGGTAAGGGTGTGCATGGAGCGGTTTGGTTCGGTTTTTTACAAAAACCGAATCGAACCAGTTTTAAATGGTTTGGTTTTTAAACCGAACCACTTTTAAAAAAAATGATTTTTAATTTGTCCAAACCAGTTTGAAACCGGTTTAAAAATCGGTTTATGGTTCATAACCGGTTTTGATTTAAAACCGGTTTTAAACCGATTTTGATATAAAACCGATTTTAAATCAAAACCGGTTATGAACCATAAATCGATTATTAAGTTAAAAACTGATTTTATAACAATTTTTTTTTTTTGTAAAAATTCAAAACCAATTTTTGATGACAGACATTGTAAGCTTGTTGAAGATTAAAGGAGGCTCAACACTAAGTTCATAGTCATATTAATCCTCGAGAAAAAAAAAAGCAGATTGAACTCTATAATTACTCTATTCTACTTTGTCTCAAAGTTCACAGACGTTGTAATTTGTAAGCTTATTCCAAAGCAAAATGAATAAGGTAATTATTCATCAGACCTGAAAATGATTGCAACATGACATGACTATACAAGCAATTAATGTGAGTAAGCAAAATGAATAAGGTAATTATTCATCAGACCTGAAAATGATTGCAACATGACATGACTATACAAGCAATTAATGTGAGTAACTGATAAACCTTTAGTTTATCTTGTTTTATAGACTAAATTAATATAAATTATCAAGTTGAACAAGTCAAAAACTAGGGTTTTAATATAATAATCATGAACTTTATGAATTATTAATTAAATGATACACATTTGTTATTTTGAAGGGATTTGATGACAAAAGGAAACAAATATGAAGATATGGATAGATGGAGAGCAAAACAAAAAGATTTGAAGATCTTATCAAGATTATCAAGTTGTTAGAGAGGGGGCTTAAGCCCCCATTTTGAAGTTAAAGCCTCCTAAATACGCAAATGGTCTCTGCCTTTGGCGCTTAAGCCCCCAACTCAGGGCTTAAGCGCGGACCAAGAAGAAGGTTTTGTTTCGAGCGCGCTTAAGCGCGCAACATAGAATCCCATGCACTATCCTAGGGGGCTTAAGCGCGTTTAAGCAAGCTTAAGCGCCCCGAAGGATCCAACTTAAGCCCATTTCGAGGTATCCACTTAGGGCACAAATTCTTTACCCCTAAAAACACATTTGGGGTTAGAATTAGGAGGTTTTTCACATTCAAGAAGAGCTCTTGATGCTTGGAGGCAGAGGAAATGCAGAGAAACACCCGGTTCATTTTCGTGAGCGGCGGAGACGGATCAACATCAAGTTTGCACTGGGGATATTGAAGATTCACCAATCATCTATGGAGTTTGGGGGAGCTTTTATATTGTCTTTCATTCTTGATATTGTTATGTCTGGCTAAGTCTTTCAGTAGTTAGGGTTAGATGGAATTTAATCAATTTATTATGCTTTGAACAATTCGTTATGTTAATTTTTCTTTTTATCATGAATGAAGTTATCTGTTTTTAATGCTTTACATAAGCTTGATTCTTATGTATTGATCTTAGGTAAATGCATGACAATAAGAATGTTGGTGTGTGATCCTTATCTGATAATTTCATCGTGCGCTTTATGATTCTAGGGATAGACATAGAGTTTGCATAATCTTTATGGTTCTTGAACTTAATGCTTACCTTCTTGGAGAATAACCGGGGAACTAGGGTTCTTGCAAGATTGTGAAGGTCTAGGGTAACAAGGGATTGAGCCCTAATTACATAAGAAAGAATCGATTAGATTGATATTAAGGACGATTAACGTAAAGAAGGAATTCAAACGTAATAAAGAGGTCGAAGGAAATCGAAACCCTAGCTACGTTCTTTTAAATTAGTTAATTCAAATCTTTAATTTCTTGCTTTTAATTCGTGTTTTTAATTCTTGCGATTAATTAGTTTTAATATTTCAAATTCAAATCCTGTTTCCAAATACAACTTTGATTGTCCAACTTAAGTTGCGATAGTGAATTAGTGCTTGAGTATAATCCTCGTGGGAAAGATCTCTTATTCAATCATTATATTACTTGTATGATCGGTGCACTTGCCGTGAGTCTCAACAGTAACAAAGTAGAATAACCAACAAGGAGAGCTACAACTTACACTAAATGAAGTAACTTAATTAATGGATAAATACATGCATAATGAAAACGATTGGAAGCACAACATATATACCAAGGACGTAATACTTATCATCCCCCAAGCTCTGTGGACAACTGATTATGCACACGTTCTAAATGGTCACTGCCTCATTGGAAATTCTATGAGGAGTTCTATACTCTAGATGCAAAATCAGAGAGAGCAAGACCATATTCAACAAAGAGCTAATTCTTGCTATTGCATAAAAAAGGTAGATAAAGAAGAAAAGGTAACAACGAAAATTAAATAAAATAACATACAGGATTTCTCCTCAAAAAGAGCATTCAAGATGATATTCTCATACAATTGGTTGGCTCAACTGATATATAATATTTTCCAATAAATGCAAGGACTTAATATCCAGTTAAAACTTCACTATTTAGTTCCTAATGTGAACTAAAAAAATAGAAGAATGGGTCTGTCAAAAATTTACCAATAAGAAGTGCTTTCTTAGAATGTCATCTTTCGATTTATGCATAATTTTTTTTTTAAAATAAATGTTTTCTACTTGAGCTGCTTAACTTTTTTTGCTAGTTTATTGTTTGGAAGTTTGAATCAATTGACTAATATAATAGGCATGATAAAAGATAATACTTATTTGTTCTTTAATTGTAAAGCAGTTTGGTTATGGATACCCAATTATTTTTATAGTTTGGTAAATAACCAGTTTATAAAATAAAATGTAGTTTTATATGAAACTGGTTTTTAAAAATAACCGGTTTTTAAGATGTGGAGCAGTTTGGTTATGGATCGGTTTGGTTTTTTTGGACATTTTGAACACCCCTAGTCAGAGGGATCAAAGGGGGTCACTGCATTTTTTTTAGTTCCACGAAACAACATTGTTTTATTAAAAATATAAAATAAAAAAGCTTGCAAACCTAAATCTAATCATTCTCTCCTCTCCCAGCTACCTAGACGTCACCTCGCTGCCGTGAATCTTCTAGAAAAGGTAATAATTTTACCCTTTCAAATGAAATTCTTACGGTCGTCGATGGAAAACAAAAACTCATTCTTACTTCCTTTAAATTTTCCTTTGTCATGGACCTTCTCAAAAGAGGCAGAACCGGGTCAGCGTAGTGACCCCATTAAAATATGAGTTTTGTACTTTGGTATCTTGATACTTTAATTAGGTCATATAATATTGACTTGTGGTTGTAACTGATG